GCACATAAAAGGAAAAACCTACAACCATATATAAATGTATCCTCTATTTCATTAGTTCACATTTTTCAAACTACCTCTAGTACTGTAAACAAGGGATAAAACGGTTTTTGAAGAACCTGTCTCCTCACCCTTGGCTTCCAAAATCAGCTTTCACACATTTTGGGACAATATGAAATATGACCCTGGGCTTTAGTTTCGAAATATACTTCTAAATGTACTTTGTTAGTATTTTTTAATTTGAAAAAAAAGAGGATGGATTGTATTAATTTTTCTTGGGCTAGTCAGAATTTTCAATTTCTCCAAAGGTGGGCCTGCCAAACAAAGCTAAGTGTATAGCTTGAAAATATTCCCAAGGTATATTAAAAGGGTTCTTACATATGTATCTTCAAATCTTAAGATTTTACAAATAATAGAGAATCAATAATAAAGAGTTATAAAGAAACAGCCTTTGTTCCTGGGAAGGAGACTCTAAATCTTTGGAGTGTTTATTATTAATGAGCCCCCTGGAAAACTCTTGTATTTATGAGAACGAGGTGACTCACAGGCTCTAGATAGCAGCTTTAGGATGGGGAGGGACTATTCACCAGAAAGCCAACCATGTTACTGGAGGTCTGTGACTCTGAGCCAATCTAACCGCCAGGGAGAGGAGGAGCCTGGTGACTGAGTTCAATCACACAGCCAATGATTTAATCAATTGTGCCTACACAATGAAACTCCAATAAAAATTCTGGGAACTCACCAGATTTGTAGCCAGTTGGTTAGAAGTGTGGATATCCTGGTGATGCCACCTTCAGACTGGCATCTGAAGATAGGCAGTCTTGTTGGGGACTGTGTGCCCTTAAAGCTGTGGAGTCTGATGCTAACTTAGGGTATTTAGTGTCAAAACTGAATTGCAGTACAGAAGGTGGGACTGAACTACAATATGACTCTTGGAACAACAAAAGTTTGAAAGGTGCAGATCCACTGATATGCAGATTTTTTTCAACAAATAACATATAATACCGTTAAATGTATTTCTTCTTCCTTATGATTTTCTTAATAACATTTTCTTTTCTCTAGTTTAAGACTACAGTATGTTATACATACAATATATGTGTTGATTGACTATGTTATCAGGAAGGCTTCAGGTCAACAGTAGGCTATTAGCACTTAGGTTTGGGGGAAGTAAACATTTATACATGGATTTTCAACTGTGCAGAAGGATCAGAGTCCCTAACCACCACGCTGTTCAAGGTCAAATGTAAATTTAGAAATTGACTCTATAATACTATATGCCTAGGTATAAACAACCAAAATATCTTAGCTAGAAATGAACTATTAAAACTATCTAAATGTTTAAAGCAGTTGATAGAAGTAATCAAATCTTGGGGCGCCTGGGTGGCTCAGTCAGTTGAGCGACGGACTTCGGCTCAGGTCATAATCTCACGGTTTGTGAGTTCGAGGCCCGCATCAGGCTCTATGCTGACAGCTCAGAGCCTGGAGCCTGCTTCGGATTCTGTGTCTCCTTTTCTCTCTGCCTCTCTCCCACTCATGCTGTGTCTCTCTGTCTCAGAAATAAACATTAAAAAAAAAAAAATTAAAAAAAAAAAAAAGTAACCAAACCTCACTTCAACACCTGTGATGAAAAATAACTATTCTTGCATTATGGAGTCCCTCTCAAAGTAAAAGACATGTACTACAAATTGCCATGAATAAAATCTCACATGTTAACTGATCAAATACCTAAGGATGGAGTTCCAATAATTTTTAATAACCATAGTATGTACATCTAGGCCTTGCTTTAATAAATCTGATCATAAACCTTAGCATGTAAAGCAATTAAAAGGATGCTATGGTTTCAATAAAATAAGTATCCACACTACACCAAAGAATGCACTACTGATTTTTAAAAGCTTACTAATACAATTATGTGATTTTACTTCCACACACAATTAAATAGCAAATATACATATTGCAAACTATAAGTAACGATAAAATGAGAATTCCCCTCTACCCTGCCAGTGTCATTTACTAATAGCATTAACTCACTGTGTCATTGCAGAAGGTTTAAGGGTGGCCTCTCTGGATCAGTCTCAAGTACAATGACTTATCCCTAAATTTTATCTGATCAATCCAGTAGCAAAAGCTGAGCAATTATAAGAACTACTAGTATCAGTAACAGCACAGGTTAACCAGCAACCTTAACCTCTTTTCCATTAAAATGAAGTTATTGCCCCTTAATGAATGTTTGGTGAGTACCTATTATGAGGAATAAAATGTACAAGAGACAGTCTCTTCTGTGAGGGGGCTGGAGTCTACTGAGGAGAAACAAGCCCAGAAACAAAACTATCATTTGCAAATCATGTGTATGTGGCTACTATTTGCTGATGGTACCCATGCATCTGGCAGTATTAAGATTTTTAAATACATTCACTCACTGAAGCCTCATGCTCTAAAACTCGTTATAAGAAGGGAGCTGCATAGGTAAATGCGACTAGATAAAGAAATGCAAAATTGAGCAACTTGAATTATTTTAGATTATTTCCTTAGTACCTTTCTACAGGATACAAACTTGGGAAATATATACATTTTTAACAGATTATGTTGATAATTATATGCATTTCCTACTGTCATAGACTGTTTGTGCCCCGCCCCAACAAAAAATTTATATATAAAATCCCAAAGCCCAATGTGATGGTATAAGGAGATTAGGGGCCTGTGGGAGATGATTAGGTCATGAGGGCAGAGTTCTCATGAATAGAATTAGTGCCTTTATAAAAGAGGCCCCAAGGAACTCCCTCACCTCTTCTACCATGTGAGGTTGCAGGAAGAAGACAGCCATCTATGAAACAGAAAGAAGACCCTCACTAGACAATGCATCTTCTACTGGTGCCTTCAACTTGGACTTCTTCGTCTCCAGAACAAGGAGAAATAAGTTTCTGTTGTTTGTAAGCCACCCAGTCTATGATATTTTATTAAAGCAGCCCAAATGAACTAAGATACCTATTAACTTATTTATACCCCGTGGAACAGTAATTACAATGGTGTTTAAAAAATAATAAAAGTCAATAGATTCTGATTGTTTTGAGGGAGAGTACACCCATATTAATAAAATTCTGAATTTCAGTCTGCTTAAAAAATATTAATTTCAAGTATGTACAGTGAATTAAATTTCTAAGTGTACAAAACATATGTCCATCAGGGTCTATAATTACCCACTTATAAAATTCACTTGTACTAAAAATATCTAATACTTTTATACAGCCTTTTCATAAACTCAATCAAAACTATCTTCTAGAATCTTCATTCATTTATCAAATATGCAAGTGATGTCAGACGGGCAAGGCCTCCAGAGGGAGGGTGTCAGGCCCATGGCCAAGAGGGTTCTTAACTTTGTGTGGGAAAGAATTTAAGAGCTAGCCATTTACAGAAAGGGGCAAAGATTTATTAAGTGTAGAAACAAGAAAGCTGCTACTTCACAGACAACGTAGTGGTGTCTCCTCCCAGGTGAGGAAGATGGCTCCTCTTTGTCTCTAACAAAGGGTTTTATAACTTGTTTTAAAATTAGCTAACCATACAGAAAGGAGCGTACTCTTTAACTTGGGGTTTTTCATTCACACTGGGCAGTTTGGTTTTTCCATTGTTTTACAGTTTTGGAATTACCCACAGGGAACAATTTTAAGAATGTCCAACCTATGTGGCTTTTACTGCCAGAGGGAGTGGGGTCTTGTGGTTTTCTATGAGTCAGATCTTGTGACTCTTTTTTATGACTTGCTGACCTTCAGGTTAAGAGTCAGCCTAAAATCAAAATGGTTTTACTCTGGTCAACTTGTCTCTCAAGTCTTTCTTCCCTCCTGCCTCACAAGTATCAAACATTAAGCATATACTAAGTGCCAGGATCTGTTCAAGATGTTGGGAACATAGTAGAGAAAAAAGTTCAGATATCCGTGCTCTAGTTACCCTCCAGTAGATACTGCTTAATAATGGTAAATTCCTAAGCAAAATCTTTTGAAACTTCAGCTATTAAATATACTTATCTTTTTAATATCTTTTAAGTTTTATTTATCTATTTTGGGGAAGAGAGAGTGTGTGTGAGAGCACACAGGTGGGGGAGGGGCAGAGAGAGAGGGAGAGAGGCTGACAGCGCACAGCCCGATGTGGGGCTTGAGCCCACAACTGTGAGATGATGACCTGAACCAAAATCAAGAGTCAGACACAACAGATTGAGCCACCCAGGCGCCCCTAAATATATTTAAAGATTTGAACTGGGATTTAATTTTAAGGCTAAAATGTCTACTACTTTATCTCAAATAAGCACATGAAAATAAGTAGTAACTAGCATTAAGAAAAAAATGTCTCCTCAATTTCCCCATTACTACACACACAGGTTTAACTAACCCTAAAGTATACATAACTTATGTAGAACTAATATACATCAAGGATAATATAATTAAAAATTAATGTTTATTGCTCAAAATAATCAGGAGACTGTCTATTAAGTACAAAAACTTTTTTTCAGAGCTTTGGTACTCAAAAATGCAACATTTCTGAACTGTCCCCCCAAATTTCCAAAATTCTTATCTGTAAGTCATTTAATTTTAAACATTCATGATTTTCATAGTTTCTTTGCCTTCATATCTAACACACACTAGTTAAAAGTATTAGCACTTTAAAGTAGCTTTCCAATTTGATAGTTTCCAAGTATAAAACACAAAGATACAGCCTGTAACTCTGACAGTTCACTAGCATTGCAGCTAACTTTCTACATATAAAAAAAAAGACAGTGGAGTTTCCAAATGAGTTACTCTAACATAAATGAAAGGATGGCAGAAAACAGAAAGAACACACCAACTCTCAGTTCTGATAGGGGTTCTTTAAGGGGGTGGGATGAGGGAGGGACAGAAATGAGACTGTATTTGTAAGATTGTACTTCTTAAACTCTAAGTAGTAGATACTATTTGTTTTAGTAATCTACATTTCTGTGTGCCTGAAATATTTAGTAAATAAGAAAATAGACTCACCGATCAATTACAATTTCTTTCTGCCTTAGCAGTCCTTCTTTTATTTTCAGCACTGATTCCCACTTACTGAAATCCTGATAGCCAGAAGGTGAATAACTTTGACGAGAGGATCCGGTCAAAACCTGCACAAATATATTTATACTATTAGTACACTAGAAGTGTTTAAAAGAAATACTTATGTGTCATCTAATATTTTCCCAACGATTTTTATTAAAAAATGAGAAAACTCAACCGTTGGTTTTTTTAAGACTGTTTGAAATCACACTTGCGAATACAACATAACTTGAAGAATTTCAAGAAAGTTCTGAAGTAAAAGAAGTCTAATGAAGTAGTGACAATACAATATTTAATCTGCCTTATTACAACACTATATACAAGATTTTATTCTCATCTTGTAGAAGCTTTCTGTAAGTGAGATATTAATCACTCACTGCCTAGGAAGAAGTACAATGAAACAACGTACCATGGTTAGACTAGACAAACATTACTGGAAAGGTTTCTACAAGGAAATAAAAACAGTATCGTAGTATGCTGACTTCAAATTATCATCCATCACATCACATTTAATTACATTAAAATTTCAAAAGCAAAAGTATTTTCACAAAATAGTAAACATATTTAAAGAAAATATGACTTAAGCACATATGATTTGGGTGATTACTGGTCTCCAGTGTAAAGTACACAATTTAGAAAAAAATCTGCTTAGAATTGAAATTTCAAAGATTTAAAACAAATCATTACTGATGAAAGCCAATATGACAAATACCCTCAAATTTCTGAAACAAACAAAAAGAAAACCCTAGTAAGTATGACTTAGTATAGTCAGAGATTGATTGCATCTCCTCAAAAAGATATGTTGAAGTCCTAATCCCCAAGAACCTCAAAAGGTAACCTAATTTGGAAACAGGGTCTTTACAGTAATCAAGTTAAGATGAAGTCCCCGGGGGGAGGGGGGATGCCTGGGTAGCTCAGTCAGTAAGTGTCCAACTTTGGCTCAGGTCATGATCTCACGGCTCGTGGGTTCAAGCCCCATGTCAGGCTCTGTGCTGACAGCTCAGAGCCTGGAGCCTGCTTTGGATTCTGTGTCTCCCTGTCTGCCCCTCCCCTGCTCACACTCTGTCTCTCTCTCAAAAATAAACAAACATTAAAAAAAAATTTTTTTTTAAAGATTAAGTCACTGGGGTGAGCCCTAATCCAATATGATTAGGATTGGGGAATCCAGTATGATTCCCCAAACTGTGTAATGGGGAAATTTGAACACAAATTCTATGCAAAGAGATACAGAAAGAACACCATTTGAAGATGAAAGCAGAGATTGTAGTGATGCATCTAAACGTCAGCAACATAAAAGACTGCCAGCAAGCCACTAGAACTCAGCCTGGAACAGATTCTTCTTCACAGCCCACAGAAGGAACCAACTCAGCCAACACCTTGATTTTGGACTTGTAACTTTCAGAACTGTGAGACAATAAATTTGTTGTGGACGCTACCCAGTTGTGTCCTTTGTGCAGCTCTAGGACACTAATACAATTGATAAATCAAGTAGGAACATAAATTCCTTCGCAGGATAAATAATCCTATAGAAACACTCCAAAGCAACTTCAGAAGAATTCAAACATTCAGTGATATTTTTATCCTTTGTTTTCCAAAGATGCTACTGGCAAGACCTATTTCTGAATAAACCACTAATTGTGTGACATCAACTAGTCCTATATTAACCCGTTCAATTAAGATGGTTTTCAAGTATACTAGGATAGGATGTTTCAGGCAGAAGACAGAACAAGATGAACAGACTAGGAAGGACAGAAACCAGGAAATAACAGGGAACATAACTTTGTCAGATGAGCAGATATTTGGAGTTTAAGTGACACATAACAATATATAGCCAGGTTAGTCAGAGATCCTTCTCTGAATTTCATTCTTTCCTTTGCCTAACATACAACCCAGACTGATAATCAGCCATATGCCCTAGTAAAGATACATTAGTTGCTACAGTACTGAAGTGTTTTTACCATGGTTGGTAACTAGCTGTTGTCCAAACCCCCAAAAGTCCTCTCCACTATCCAGGCCACTCCTCAGAACTCTCCATCATCCAACAAATGAAGAGTTACTTCTTGACATTAAAAGGGGCCTTCAATATGCTCCATCCATAAATGGCATCCTTTCTGATTGGTTGGTTCCCTGCAGTAGTCAACCCTCCAAAAATTTTCCATCTCAGAACTACCTACCAGCTTGCATTTGGTTGGCAGAACTGAAATTCAAACAGGGGCACCCCAACAAAAGAGCATGTGTTCTTAAGGAAATTGTTACACTGCTTCTACTATGGCCTAAATAAGGTATTCACAAAATATCCTATCATCACAAGAGCTGAAAACATTTTTGATAGTAACTGCTCTTAGAAGCTAAAAGAGAATTCCGCACCATAAACAATATTGCTGAAATTATGAGAAAGTCTCTACTTATTGCAACTCCATATTACTTAATGACTACCAATTTAGTGGGTTAAGTCACTTGATTAAATTTATGTTGTCAAATTATAGCTCAAACAGGAATTCATTAAAACTAGTAAAAGCTAATAAGCAAAATAAAAAACCATCTCAACAATTCCAAAACTCAATGTAAGATTTGGAAATTATCAAATTAATGATTTGGTAAGCCATTTGTGCTATAATACTAAACATTTCATTTATTTGATGACTAAAAATGAATATACACTTTACATATATATTGAGTTATATATTAATATCCTGATGCCAATAGACAGATATTTTAAATAATGGTTTTTGTATATTGTTATCATGCCTAACAAAAAAAACATCTCAGGTATAGTTTCTTCTTCCAAAGACTTAAGAAAGGCTCCTCCATTTCTGATTACCACATGTCAGGAACTACCGATACTATAATACTGAAGCTATCTTTACCTTCTATATCTTGTTCCTATTTCAATAAGACAAATGCACACAGCTCAAAAAAGTAAAAAAAAAAAAAAAAAAAAAAAAAAAAAAAAAAAAAAAAAAGTAAAAACAACAACAACAACAACAACACAAAAGCCCAGGCAAGAGATGATGAACTACTCTACTCTTGATATGTCTTCTGCTAAAGAATTTCCCTATGGCTGACAATTTCCTAATGAGAAGGCTTTTCTTGTTTTGAAACACTTCTTGGTATCAAGAAAGAGAGTAAAGAGAACGAAAAAGTAGGTTTGCAAGAGAAAAGCAAATAACAATAGTTTTGAAGAGAAAAGCAAATAACGATACTGCCTGGCTTACAGCACCTGAATCATTGGCAGAATGGACTGCTAAAGCACTTACCAAACACTTCCATGAATATACACAAAACAACACGAAAATTTATTCTTCTGATTTGTAGCTCCCTTGATCTAAACTCTTTGGAAAACAAATCAAAATTGAGCTATGAAACTGAGCAAACAGAAATAAAGGAAAAAAAGAACAGCTTTCCTTATAACAAAGATGCATTAACAATTAAAAATTGCTAAAAGAGTAAATATTAAAAGTTTCATAATGGAGTGCCTGGCTACCTCCGCCGGTCAAGTGTCCAACTCTTGATTTTGGCTCAGGTCACGATCTCATGATTCATTAGATCAAGTCCCGTGTCAGGCTCTACGCTAACAGCGTGGAGTTTGCTTGGGATTCTCTCCCTCTCTCTCTTCCCCTCCTGCGCTCACTCTGTCTCTCAAAATAAATTTTGTACAAAATAATCCTATGCTAACTTCTGTCAGATTCTCTTTTAGCCTTGCCAAGACTGAAGTCTGAACTGCTTCAAGTTATTTTCATCAGTTGTATGGTGACGGATGGTAACTGGACATAATGGTGACCATTTCGTAGCATATACAAATATCAAATCATTATGTTATACACCTGAAACTAATATGTTAAATGTCAATTATACCTCATTTTTTAAAAAATGTAACAAAGAATTACCAAATCAGCAGCATGATAGTCTTCCTTACTGAACCTTAACTCTAACTCATAAAAGATTAAAAAGAAGAACAAAATCTGACACACAACTAAATGTTATAGGTAAACTTAAAAGCAATTTTTATGTTTCATTAGTTGTTCCTTTTCTTTAATAGTAAAGCATTGTTTATATTCTATGCAAAATCATAAAGGTACAGGGGTGCCTGGGGGGCTCGATCAGTTAAGTGTCTGATTCTTGATTTTGGCTCAGGTCATGAGATCAAGCCCCAGTTTTAAATATTTGTAGTCTCATATATATACTACACATATACAATATGAGCCCCGTGTCAGGACAAGCTCATGCTTGTGTTCTCTCTCAATATAAATGAATGAGTGAGTGAATGAATGAATGAATGAATGAAATGAAATAAATTTTTAAAAAATCATAAAGGTACAATGGCTGCCTTGCTAGTTGAGACTTCACAATATGATTTTTTTACAAAATCTTTTAAAACTCTACTTCAGGTCGAATTTTATAACTTTGTTTAATATGGTTTTATTATATAATGATATGACCTTGTTATAAAAGCCTTAGATGAAAAAGTCTCCATAATTGTCATTTTTAATGATAGGCATATATAAACAAAATATTTTATGACATAGGAAAATTACATGAAATTTAAAAATCAGGGCTCATAATTAAAGTTTTATTGGAACATAGCCATGTTCATTCTTTTATATATTATCTATGGCTGCTTTCCCCATCAAAGTTGGGTAGTTGCAAAAGAGACTGCATCTCTCTCTCTCTCTCTCTCTCTCATATATATGCAAAGAATACTTCAAACTGTATTTAATATATACAGCATATCAATAAATCTAAAATTTTACATGAAATTGCAAACTTTTTGAGAAAATAACAATTACCAAAAGTGAGTCTACTACTTATTACATCAGGTAGTAATTTTATAGGTAGTTTCTACCTAAATGTTAAGAAAAGATAAAACAGTGCAAAAGAAAAATTTTTGAGAAACACAGTAAGGGGAGGCTTGAAGAATAATAATAAAGCATGTTATAAACTAAGAAGATTTAAAATACACTTCGCAGCAAATGCAGAAATTCACATTAAAACAGTACCACCATTTTAAAAACACACTTCTAAATAATACATAGGCTGACTGAATGAAATTGTAAATATATCAGAATTT